TGGGCATAAACCTAATACCTTTCCATTGAGCTAATGGGAGGATACTTATAGCAATGACTGATAGGGTGAGCTGTCCTTCATCACATTAAGTATAATAGTGCAATGACATTTAACTGTTTATTAACAATTTATGCTAAAAGTGCGTTAAAAGAAATGATAAAACACAAGACATCATATCTACTAGTAGAACAATGAATGATCCAGTGGCTACAGCATTAAACATGTATGAGTGTTATAACTATTATGATAAAGTTGAGGCAATGATTATGATCTGATACCGATCTCTGATTTCCAACCAGGCGCTCTCTCAAATCCATTCTTTCCTTGAGAAAAGTCTTCGAATGTTTGATATATCTCGGCTTCACTGTTCATCACAAATGGACCTACAATTATACGCCACACAAATAAATAAATTAATTAGGCATCGTAGAATTTTGAATTTTAGCAGAATCTATTGTTATCCATCCTACCATGCTGTACAACTTTCTCTTTGACAGGCTCTCCCGCTATCAGAACAAAATGAAGCTGTTCATCATCCTATTGGAATTTAATTATAAATAAGTATGAAATTCTAATCATAATTATTATACTTCATTTTTCACATTAATGTGATCCCCAGGGCCCAATACTAGTGTGTGGTGGGGTGTACTCTCCATCCAGTCATCAGATCCGGTTGCTGTCTTCCCGCCAAAATATCCTCGACCTTTCAATACATATATGAAACCATTCCAACCTTAAAAGAGAATGTGATAGTAAGAGTAATCCACATAGGCGGCTGCAGGCCTAGGCATTGGGGGTCATTGCCTAGGTTAAAAATTAGACCGGAAGTAGAAACAATGCTATTTAACCCTTTTACCACACCCCTTTAATTAGAAATGCCTAGGCTGAGTTGGACTTCTGCAGCCGCCAAAGGTAATCCATGCTTTTTATATACATGGTATTTTGTCAAAAACGAATATGAAAAAATTCTCAATTTTTATTACATTTTCTGATGCATATTGATTTTCTTATGTTATCTAGAAAGTTTGAACTGATTCTGACAAATATTTTTTTCAAGTTATGGTCAATTTTTAAAATGGGTGAATTTCTGAAAAATACCCTGTACTATAGCCCATGGTTTTTTTTCCGAAAAATGGCTCCAAAATCCCACCAAATTTTTATTACATTTTTTGATACATATTGATGTCCTTATGCTATGTAGAAAGTTTGAGCTGATTCCAACAAATATTTTTCAAGTTATGGCCATTTTTTAAAATGGGCCAATTTCTGAAAAATACCCTGTACTATAGTATAGCCCATGGTTTTTTCCAAAAAATGGCTCCAAAATCACACCAAATTTTTATTACATTTTCTAATACATATCAATGTTGTCATGTTATGTAGAAAGTTTGAGCTGATTCTGACAATTATTTCTAAAGTTTTAAGCATTTAAAAAACAAGCCAATTTTTAGTCTTTATACACGAGATGTGGCCAAATTATATTAAAAACTGAAATTAAGGGAATTCTGGATTTTTAGTACATTTTCTGATGCATATACATGTTCTTGTATTACGTACAATTACTGCAATATAGCTTGAGCTGATTCTGATCAAAAGTACACATTCACTAGTTGCTCAAAAAGTTGGCCTCAAGAAGGGCTAAGGGAGGCAATTGCTTTACTGCCCCCCTAGTGCCCCTACCCTTCCAATTTTTAAATTTCAATATCAAAGTAAATGTATCACTATACCTTCAGTAACAGGCTGTGAAAGATGACTTCCCTTGTCAATCTTAAAATCAAGATAAACAGTTGGAGTTAATGTACGGACAGGAGACTAAAAGAACAAAAAACATTCATAATGCCATGGATATTGATACTGACACTGATATTGAAATCTTACACTAGCTCCGAGTGAATCTCCAGCAATTACTGTTACATGAACTCCATCTTTACTGACAGATGGTATGTCTTTATTTAATAATTCTTGATAGCGTGGCTCAACCATCTAGAGAGACAGAAAGGATAAACAATGCATACACACATACACACTGGATAACTTTACTTTATCTTTCTTCTTTAAATTAATCCATAGTTGTAGTCCCACATTATCTCCATCACCAGCTGGCATTTCAGAATGCACTATACCCCGACCAGCAGTCATCCACTAAACAATGGAAGAGATTTATAGGATGATAAAGTTAGCACTCACAAACCTGTAGATCTCCTGGATTTATGGTTCCTTTGTGTCCACAAAAGTCTTCATGCATGAATGATCCTTGCAGCATGTATGTGACCTAAGAAAAGTCTTTAATATTCTTAACCCTCTTTTCCTCAATTTTTTCATCTCTTCTCTTTTCCTTCCTCACTCTTGTCTCTCTTTATAATTACCGTTTCAAAGCCACGGTGAGGGTGATCGGGAAAACCAGCTGGTTTGCATACTTTGAATTCATCCAATAAAAGAAAAGGATCCAGTGATCGTAACTAAAAACAAATACCATACAAGATGATTCAAGGTCTATTTACACTCCTGCCACATTGCATAAAATTACTACCATAATATTATAGCACTTTAATTTAGCAGAGTTTTATTCAAGCAAAGCCACCAAGCATGCTCAGTATAATAATGCACGTGTACACAAAAATTGCTAGATTAAAAATTGCCATAAACTGCCAATTAAATTTTTAGATAGTTCCATGAAAATTGATAATACCAAGAGTGCCTAACTCGTCATGTACTCTTGCTAATACTAAAGTCCATTTGTGTTCACCTGAGCCCTTGTTTTCTTGCAATAACTTTTGACTTACAAGTTCTATTGTAAAAATAAACATACCAGTGCATTCCTCTCCTTTTGCCGCATCTATTGTACTACTTAAGAAGCAGCTTTAGCTCTTTAGCTCCAAGTTGGTTGTATAACCCATGCAGAAAGTACAGCCATACTTTTCACAATATTATTGCATTGTGTTAATTATTGGGTGTGGTTTCTAATCACTTCCTGGGCTCAGGTGAATGCAAATGGACTTTAGCATCACAATTATCATAGATAATAGTAGTATCTATGCAATTATTCAATTAATTATTTTAACCCCAACATAACCAAAAACATCAGTAGTTTTTGATGGCCAGCTGTTAATAACATACCTCGGGGCGTCCCACACTCCTCCTGACCCGAGCTCCTACACCTTCTGCTTGTTCAACAGAAAGGAATTTCTTGACAATCTGCCTTGCAGTCATTTCGCAAAACTCGGAAAACTGTCGAGTGTATAATGATCACTTGTAATAAACATTTAATAACTAATAGCCCCGCCTTGTATTATCAAGTTTTCCGTATATTCCCGCTCCAAATTTTGCACATGTCAAACATGTGAGTGCACGTGATTTCTTGCTAATTCCTTTAACAATGCAGCAAAGAGTATTTTAATAAAGCATACACATAAGTACAATAACAAAGTCAAATATACATAAAAATGTCCTAAACTATCTAAACAGCAAAACTTTAATTAACTTCTTCATATATCTCTTGTTGCTCTACATCAAACTCCTCATAGTCTAGCTGCTCTCCCACATAGTCATGATTTTCTTCTTCGTAACTTTTTTGTTGCCTTTGCTTAATCAGCACAGAAGGTGCATGAGACTGTGGCTTAGACATTACCACAGTTGACAGCTTTGGCTGAGGCTTGGATTTCAGAATAACCTGTGGGAATTCTTTATTATTATCATATCTAACTGTATTTCCTTCAATATTGCTGTCATTATGAGAAGAACTCTTGTAGTGTTTTTTGGCCCAAAAACACACCCTATAAAAAGGAATTATTTTATGCTTGCATGTAGAGAAAATAAACTTACATTGCATTTATTGGGAGAACAATAACAAAAGAAGCAACAAAACCTGCTACAAAGAGCCCAATCAATAAAGCCATATTTATGCTCTGTTCATCATCATCATCATCTGAAGGTGAGGCAATAGAGAGTGCAGTCATATTGTTTATCCATAGCAACTTATTGTTCTCAAAGCTGTAGAGTAATATTGACACCAAATCTGAAGCAGTTCGAGACCCATCCATTGCTGCATATATCATAGTTGAAGAAAAGGACAGTACATTGTTAGAACAAGAGCTGTCAGAAT